GAACAAACCATCGATTGATCGCTGAACGATTAAACGTCGTTATGAATGCTGAAAAACACAGCAGTTTACTAAACAAAGTGCACCGCAACAGCGCGCGCAAAATGACGCGTACTGTCCAATTACAAGCATGACGCGTACACCGTCCAATCAATGCTCAAATTGGGCTGCTGATAGCCAATCACGTTCGAGAATTGTTATAGTTTTGATTATAATCATCATCATCATTATTATGATAATAATAATTAATAATGATAATTAATTTTTTATTTAGCTTTTTAATTTTTGTTTGAGGGGGGGTGGGCATACATGTAAAGTTCTCATTTATTGCTGATGGAGTGGTGAGTAGTTCAACATTACACACTGTATGACCTTTCATTAATTAGCAGTTTTGTTTTGTTACTGTTTAGAACGGATATTGTCAAAGCAGATGATCACAATGTCTAAAGCTGCAACCAACGCTAGCAGCAGTTCAGGGGATGATGGCAATGACAGCTGCAATCGTCAAGGTATTTATGATAAGGATGAAATGGTTTTCTTGTGCAGATTACATTTTATTATAAATTGTGGACATGTAAATCAGGCCTGATTTCATCAAAGGATGCAAAAAGTATCTGCAGAAATCTCCTGATTTCATCAAAGGATGCAAAAAGTGTCTGCAGAAATCTCCAAAGGTAAAGCCATGATTCTCCTCATAAACACTTTCTGTACAAGAATGGCCCCACATGTGACATGTCCTGGCATTCCCAGGTAGACCCCAAGGCAGAGCTTGTCTCTAACTGATTGCGAAGCTATTTTAGCAGTTCAAAAATTACATTGTAGCTTATTGGGGACAAATGACAACACTGTGCCCAGCCTATGCTTTCAACCAACATGACCCCAAAGCAATCAACTGCATCACATCAGTCCTTGGTTACTGTTCCACCATTTTCCAGTGCAGGAGTGGAACTGCGTCAAAAAACTACCCCCATTTCAAGACGTGTTTTTATCAGGGGGTGGGGGAATTTAAAGTGGTACTATGATCAAATTTTTACCTCCTGATTTTTCAGATGCATCACATAGAATTCCATGAAAGAATAAAAACGTCATTTACCGTTTTCAAATATCTGCATTAGTTCCAGAGATATTAGAGTTTGAAAAATGTGTAAAATATGCAAATGAGATGATTGATGACGTCATACACTCAGCCCAATATTATATTACGTATATAAATAGAGCTATCTCGGTCAATTTGCAACAGAATCCATTGAAACTTGGTAGGCTAACAGTTCTACNCTTCGGTCGTGCCCCTTGAGCTGGAGGAGGGTTAAGTTCTTGCTCTTCCATGAGACGAGTGAGATCATCAAGATTGTACTCGAAATCCTTAGCCATGGCCATCTTTTGGAGAGTTAGTCGCTGCGAAAGTCGGAGATATTATACGAGATTGACGAAACAGGCAACTAGAAGTCTTTCTTAACGCTACTGACACGCGATTGCTGACAAGCTGACAAACCACACGCTATATATTACAATGCGGATGACCGCTGACAGGGTTACCATAGTAATGACTGTATTTGATCCAAGTACCAAAACCCTCCAAAATTGGACCAAACTAAAGCAAAGGAAAGGAATCTGCCTCCATTTAGTTTCAGAAGTGTCTGCTATACTACTGACTATCTATGATGCAATAGATAGTGAGTAATTTTGCCAATTGGAGTGCAGGTTTAAGTCTGTAAATTTATGAAGAGCGAATGTCTTCACTTGTACTTTATTGGTCAGTTACTGTGCACACTTATTAGTAGGAGTCCATACCGTAATTGTGGGCTATTTTTCTAAGATGGTGTTTTTTTTTCCAAATAGCAAACTTGTTTCATTTGAGGATATCCAGACTAAATGTTATGACTCAAAATTTGATTGTAGAAATATTAAAGTGAATGTTTCCTTGCAGCTTCTTTCAGGGGAAGAACTTCAACAGGAGTTAAACAGCTATCACTTAGTAGTGCTCATGCTCTAAGACAGCAGTGGTTATCGACCAGTGATCATAGAGGTAACATTATAAATGGCTTGACTGAATATTTAATTTTAATAATTCAAATACATCAAAGTGATGTGTCCTACTTAAAGGCTGCCAACAAAACTTTTAGAATTCTAAAAAGGGCAGATTTTACATGGAGGGATTTGTTTGCCATCACTATACAATCAAAGCTCTCCTTGCGACCACTCTTGTAAGCGACCTGCTCTAGTTACAACCACCTTTGTGAAACCCCGTTTGAACTGTGACGTAAACTTTGTATTGTATTGTATTTGTAACAATTCAAGGTTTTTTCCATGGCATATCAGAATAAAGGCACTCATTAAACATTAATTTCTTTTGTTTTTTTCTCTCTATGAATTATTAATGAGTTTCTGAAGCTCTCATAAGCTGTATTGTTTTACCATGCAGTCGCAAGCAAGAGCTCATTCTTGTAAGCGACCAGCTAAAATTAGTTACGACCACTTTTTCAATTTTCCCAGGTGGTCACTATTGAGAGCTTCAACTGTTTACAAAATCATCTCTGTAGAGGAATGAACTACTCATCCATTTACAGAGCAGGGCTAAAACTTGGCAGTGGCTAGGTCGCCAGTGGCAACTTTAAACCTACCAGGGTGACTTAAAATTGAGGTTCAATCGCCCGATATGCGACTACAATACAAAATAAGCAGTATGGTAATTTAATTGAGCCAACTTTCTTTTCTTTTCCCCGACTCTAATTTCACCGTCTTCAGTGAATGATTAGTTCATTAGTGGAAAATATCAAGGGAAGTCCATAAACAATTCCAAGCCAAGCCCATCCATCCATGTTGAGATGCTATTGTTCTCTGTTGCCACACGATTCCAGACTCTTCCAGAGTACCTTGCAGTCTGTTTTCATTGCATTTGTTAGAGAGGTTAAGCAAGACGTTTACAGCAAATGGTAAAAATGAAACTTTTTCAGTCTGTCCTCAACTATTTGTGCAGTAGAGTGAAAATATATGTATTTGGTGAACAGTAGGAGGCATTTTTCTATTTTTGTGTGATTTAATTGATAAGGATTCAAAAAAAAAAAATCAGAGGTAATTTTTTGCTGTTTGCCGTGAGCATCATGCTTAACCTCAATTGCTTCTAAGATGATTAACGACTAATGTGAGCTGCCGTCAACTGAAAAGTTTTGAAGAACAGCTTCCGAAAAAACCTTTCAGCTGTCTGTCGACTGACTATTGGCCATTTGTCACCCGACAGGTTTTGGCCAGAAGACAGACCAACAGTCCACCGATAGTTGGCCAACAGTCGGCCAACTATCAGTGATCTGTCGGTAAATCGTCGGTAGCACATAACAGTTACCTCGATGTTGTTTCTCCCTACTGCACATAAGATTAATTTTATAATAAAATAGGAAGGTATGTCCTTCTGAATTTTGGTAATCAGTGCTTAGGACTAGCAGCAGCATTGCAGAGAGTATTTACGTGATTTTTGCCGCCATAATGGAAAGGGTGACTAAGTACCATTCGCCCTCAAATTATGTCAGGGTTCAAATTGCATTGTAGGGGGATTTGTACAAGGAAGTGTTATTTGGTTGTTGTTGTTGTTTTTTTCACTTTTGGATTAAATCTGCTTTATACGGTTTAAATTTAAGATGTTCTTGTGTGTTAGTTACACAGTAACAAATTTGATATAAAATTAAGTTTTTAAAGAATATTTTACAATCAATATTTTCTATGTTGACCGTTGAGCTGTAAGTTTGTGACGAGTTGCATTGCTAATAATATTGTTTCTATTTTGAACCCATTTTGTTGATCGGGTATAATACTCTAGTCCTGTCTATTTTACAGCAAACTTTTTGTTTTAACAAACTGTTGGTTAAACCTGTTGGTAGCCTGTTGGTGGCTGATCAGTAACCTGTCGACCGACAGCTTACTCACAGTCTTCATCATAATTACCATTCAGAAAGGCAACAGAAATTACAATAATAACAAAACTTTACGAACATTTCAAACAAGCTGGACGAAAGGGTGGCTGTGGCTGGTTTTCCCAGAGGATGCCATGTTTTGGTCCATTTGTTGACAAAATTGATATTTATTAATGAGTAATCAATGTCTGAGAGCCAGGCATAATTCATCTTTTGGAATTCTTTTTCTTTGGTTAAAGCCTTGTTAAAAGCCGTAAGATGTACAGTATAGTCATGTCAATACAACTACAGAAATTTCAAGGCCACATATTTGGTCCTGTGTGACTAAGTAATCAAGGATACTCACCCGGCTGGCCACCAGGCACTGAAGTTAAGTTTTAGCCCTGACAGATTAACATACATTGTAATGCTATAGGTCCTTCCAGGATACATTTACAACCCTCAGTACACAGTATAAGACCATCTCCTAGTGGTACTCAGGCTCCAAAGCGAAAAAGATTATCAGCTCAAGCTGATAAAGGTAAGATATATGGTAAAGGCATGTTTACTTCCTTGGGAGACAAAATTAGTACTGAACTGAACATTATGGCTTTTTGCTTACTTTAGAGCTGTGACAAAACAAGAAATTAGTTCAAGCATTGCAATATCTGGGTTGTCATTACATCACAACTTCATTTTCTCAGAGGCCTTTCTATTTAGGATTCATGGATTGTAATTAGAGAAAACATATAAGTCAACTGTTCTTTCAATGTTTCTTTGTAGGATCTTTTGAAAGAGGAACTTCTGCAACATCTCCATTAAAGCGGCATAGATTATCCAGGGATAGTGATACAGGTAATATCGTAAATTAAAAGGTTTTATTAATGTCTTAATTATCCTATAGTCAACACATGCCATGTTCACATCATGCAATGCAAACATGTCATTAATTCTGTTTGTGTGAATTTACAGCTTAAAAACAAAACAGGTCCTCCTGAATAGACTCGAAAATTTTTTGCATCATTTCTTGATGAGAATTATCAGTATCATAATATCTTGAAAAAAAAAAACGGTTAAGTCTGCATTCCAGCCAAGTGGCTCATAAGGCTGGTGCTTCTCTCCAGCTTCTNAAAATAACGAAAAGATCCCAAAAATATCACAACACATCTGTTTCAAACGTCTGTCTAAAGTGATGATGCATTTCAAGAGTTTTAGACGTGTTTTCCTTTCTCACGCGTGATGGGAGGAGTAGATTAACGGGTAGTGAAATGCCTGGAGCATTATCACAGAATTTGATTCCAGGCTTTCACATGTACCAAATTGGCGTCCGTGTCAAACAAATTGAGTTGGTCATTGCTGAGTATGTTTTCTCCCCTTTCAGCCAAGTGAGCAGCACCCTAAAATGCCTTAAAATACTCTAAGGAAAGAGGACAGAGGAGCTTGATAGTCTGCTTCATAATTTAATTTGTGGGCCACCAGTAAAAGAATATGAAGCTGTAATCAACACGGCAATGCCATTATGGAAGGAAAAGAGGCACAGAAGAAAACTGCCAAGGTCTTCTTGTTTTCAATAGAAGGACAGGGTTATGTACGCCAAATTCATGGGAAGATTTTAAATAGGAGAGGTTTTCTGATTGAGACCATTGAGATTTTGACTAAAAGAACAGTTGTTATAACATGGGAGAAATAGTCATATCAATGATAGGTTTTATTGTTCTTTAGGCCCAAATACTGACTGACTCGAAAATGCTGAAAACAGCATTTCCAAGAGTTTGAATTTTAAAATTTCCTGGGCGAGCATGCTCCCCTAGGAGGCTAGCACCGTTGGCACTCAAAAAGTGGCCTGCCAGCTACTTTCAAATTTATGACATCTACTTCAAAACTTATCATGACACCCCTGACAAACAGGTCAAATTACTGTAGACTAGTGAACATTCCAAGACTGCAGAATATTCACTATGTCCAAGTACTAGTTGTCCATTGTAACAAGAGAAGAACAATAAAAAATATTAGTTTGGAACCACATAATGTTTAGACTGCAATTCCATTATAGTGGGAGTCTGTAATAGCAGGAGTTGTTTCCATACTCTTCCTTGTAGTTTCAGCCATCAATGTAACTTCTGTCCATGAGAGCTGCGTATTGTAATAGTGGGGTGTCCAAAAGGCGAGAATTGACTGCATGTGCTGACAGTCACAACACTAAATGAGTCCAAAACCAGATGTATTGCCATCACCCCAAGTTTAAACTGGTCCCAGTTCAAGTGTGCGTGTGATTTTCTCAGACTTCATCAGTAAACTGTTCGGTTAAAGATTAAGTCTGTTCAATTCCAAGTTATATCAGAGTTGCTTATCAGTCTGATGATGGATACAAGCTTGACATCAGTTTTTTTCACTGACATGGTGTATCTCCGAGTTGAGCGGTAACTTACACAAAGGAAATAGAGTCAAAGCTCTCCTTGCGACCACTCTCGTAAGCCACCAGCTCTAGTTATGACCACCTTTGTGAAACCCCTTTTGAACAATGACTTTGTCATGAAAAGCTCTCGTAAGCGACCAATCCTGTAAGCGACCGTGATCACTTTTGGGATTACCCAGCTGGACTTTTCCTTTGTCTTTAAGCTCTCATAAGCGGCCACACCAAGTCTTTTACTTATACATTGTAAATCAACGCTTTAATGAAACTGCACTGTGCTAATGGTTATTTTGAAAATGAGTGTCTAGTAAAAACCTTCATATGCCTTAAGCATTTTCACTTAAACTATGGACATGTAAATGTACACATTTTCTGAAAGGTCATAAACATGTTCCTTCAATGCAATTAATTCCACTGAGGTTGACCTAATGTGATAACCACATGATATGACAGCAATGGGAAAGTAAGAGGTTGGTCGAAAAACCTCCTACAAATTTCAGGTGCCAATTTAAGTTGTTTCTGGTGTGCTAGGAATTTGACATACCCAGTACATCTTATAGGCACCTGAGGGACAAAAATCATGACATACTGAGTACGTCATACAGGCACTCATGGGGTTAAATTTTATACACTGTAAATGAAATTTGCTCACCTCTAAATCATTTGTCATACCAGCAAAATCTAATAACTTAGTTTCTTTGTCAAAGTAATTGTATTCCCTGATGTTTTCAGCTTTGTATCCAGTGGCTAATAACATCTTCTTGTGGTTTCCTTAGAAAAGAAAATGTGAATGACATCAGTAAAATGTATTTAAAGTGGTACTATGACGAAAATCACATCTTTCCTAACTAGGCCATTTTAAAACATAAAGAAGTACATAGTCTGTAAGAGAAGAAAAATGCTGGTTATTATTTTCAAATATCTCTTTTCATTCCGGAGATACTCATTACAAGTTTTTAAAATGTGCAAATTAGCCGAGTGGTGATGTCATACACTAAACCAAATTTTGATCAAATGTGAAGAGAGATATCTCAGCCAATTTGTATCAGAAATGTTTGATTTTTTGCAGTAAGATTCTATTAAAAGTGCTCCACAATACAAACTCAACAGTTTTGTTACCATGGTCACATACTGGGTTACACACCTCCCCAATGTGTGGTTCCAGAAAATATTCATACCCGCACCATGGAGGGAATAAGAAATTCTGGAGGGGTGGGGGGAGGGGTCAAAGACCCAGGAAATTCTGGAGGGGAGGGAGGTTGGACTGTCAATTTAGTTTGCAGATGTCCTTCGATTCAATATGGAATTAAGTAGAGATCTTGCTGATCAAAAATCCTTTCTTACCTATTGAGTAGATCTTTCCCATGGAAAAATAGTAGCTTGAATACTTGTATCTGAATTGCATTATATTTGAAATAAATTTTCTTTCTTCAAAAAGCACTTTGAAAGCTAACAAGTGCAAAGAATATACTGTTGCATGGAAATGGCCCCATTACTTGTTACCAGTCTACATGGAGTCATCTCGTGGACCGAAAAGCACTGGTGACTAGCCTAGTTTGTTTTTGCATTGGTCTTAGAAGCTGTCAAGTGGCAGTCGATTTCTTTCATTAAATTAGTTTCTTTACAAAGGTAGAAATGACATTATGATTTCACAAACTTGAGAATTTCTTAATCATGTTTATCTCTCTCAATTTGTATGTAATTTTGCTGTAAAATTGGCTTTCGTCGTGACAAAGTATGGTGTCAATTTCATCCACATTCATCTTATCAGTCCTTCAACCGAAATTATACCACATTTACAAAGGGACTTAGTTATATAGGAAGGTAATTTGACAAGTTACCATTTGATCTGTTTTTTTATGTTTTCTCTGTGTGTATCTTCAGATGTTCAGACTTCAGACGATTGATCAAGAATGAACAGCAGTAACATGTACATGTATGCAATACAGACAGCAAAGTGTTTGGAGTGTTTATGTAGCTTTGAACACACTTTTTTGCCAAAACTATTTTTCCCAGAGGTTATGGGGGGTGCACATAATACTCATGGAAATTCCAGAGGGGTGGAGGGGTTATTTTTGTGTTCAAAAAATTGGAAATTTTTGTTCTTTTAAATTAATTTGTCCTAAGTGTCGCCATGTTAATATTTTCTTTGTCTGTACTTGTTAAGTTGATTAGTATATTTTAGATTGTATTTGTGTTATTTAGA